TCTATCTATCTATCTCGTTCGCTGGCTCGCTCGAGATGGCTAAAACGAGAGAGGAGAAAAATGGGAGGTTGATCGGGGTGGATCGACGGAGGCGCGCTCTGGCGGCCGCGAGATTTATCTCTGTGAGTGAGACAGTTGCGGTTACGACGTATAATACGGGACGAAACCGCGAAAATCTCGGATTACGAAGAAGGATCTCAGTGGTTCTCCGTACGGCCAATTATACGCGTACACGATTACAACAAATACGACTCGTAACGTGTACTGCCTTCTGTTTCGATCTTTCGATCTTTCCCCGAGTTAAAAATCGGATAAACGAAATAACAATAGAAGCGAGCTTGGCGACGTAAATTTCGATCGAATAGAGATATATGTATATATATGTATATATATATATATACACATATACATTATTTTCAACGTTCCCGATCACGATTCCAATCGAACGGAATACGGCGAACCGGGCATTGTTTGCCGCGTTGTTCGTCGAAGGCCGGGTCTCGTCTTTGCCGTGCTGCGATACCGTAAACACTAGCCGACTTTATTATCGATGCAAATCCTCCGGAACAATTCCACTTGACCGTTTACACGTTTCATATGCTACTAATAAACGAGTTAACTCGTACGCTCGAGATTGATAATCGAAGAAGGTAGTACGCGATAGTATTCTTGTCATCTATCGAGATCGATATAATCGAGATCGAGGCATAGGCGATTATTAGAAAATCGAAAAAAAATACGATACGCAGAGTTGGGCGCATTAAATAAGTTAGTTGAAAATTTCGAATAATAAGTTGCTTCGTGTGATTATTTATTAAAATGCTCGAACAATATATTTATAAATTGATCCGCTTTTCGTGTAGTTTGGTATTATTATTATTTATATTTATTATTTATTTTATTATTTATTATTATATTGTTTTAAATAAAAAATATATTTATATATTTATATATTGTTTTATATTTTATTATTTATTATTATTATTGTTTCAAACGATAAATTATCGCGAAGTAACTTTTTATTCGTAACTTCGATTGTTGATGATACGCGATACGTTTCGAATGAGGAAACAGAACCTTCCATGCATTTTTCTATTATGTAAATATCCGGTTATTTTTATTGTTGCCGGCCGTGCAGGAGGACGCGCGCGTTGGATATATCCTCGCGGGATCGCAGCTGATACCGTGGAGAAAGGAAAGGAAAGGGAAGATGGCCGGGTAGGCTACGTGGCAGCAGAAACGAAGAGGCAAAAATCCCGGCGATACCTCGGCCTTACCGCGTTTACCGAGCTTTTGAAAATTTCTTCTGCCGAAATGACGGACGAAAAAAAGGAGAAACGCATTTTCCAATCGAGAATTAGAACGTTGGTATTTTTATGTAGCGCGCAACGAGCAAGCAAGGATTGAATATTCATCGAAAGATGCATAGGATCGGGTTATAAATAAAAGAATGTATCCGAATGATTTATGCACGAGTTAATATATTGAAAGGTGTATATGTACGTACGAGGCGAGGTAGACCTTGCACGCGCTGGCTCCATGCAAAAATTCGCGTTTGTCGATCGAACGGTATCGGCATACGAAGAAATGGCCGGTTCGAGGACATCGCGAAGGACGGGGCTCGATGCAGGTGCAGTTTTTCTGCGACGAATTCCACGTGGCTGAATCATCCACTAGCCTAGCTAAGCGAAATCTCCCGCTTGTTTTCGGCGAAATCTCATTTAACCGCGTCACGTTATTATATATTACGATGTATTATATACGACGAATCGGGAAGAAACGAGAATTTTTGACGATCGAGTATAATTGTATGACTTCTCGCGTTCGATGATAGGAAAAATTTAATAGTTGAACTTGCGAATAAAACTTACTTGGATAATGGCAAATAACTATAGCATTAAATGGCCAAGATATTATATGAAAAGAAGATCGATTATAATATCTACGAATAAATATTATTCGAGCATTTTAATAAGTAATTATAATTAAAGTAACTTTGTTCGAAATTTTTTAACTGGTTATTTTTTTCAATGGATTAATGCCCAACTTTGCTCGCGTTTAATCTCGAAATTGGCGAAGATCCCTTTTCTCTAATCGCGAGAGGAACTGGTGAAAAAGTTGTGCGCACGCGCGAGCGAGAAATATCGAGGGAGGGGGAATGGAGGACTGTATCGTCGGTACGCATGCACGCATGCACACAGCTCGTCCAGAAAAGATTCGATGGAATTCGAATGGCACGCAGTTTTAATTAGCAGAGACAAACAGATGAGTCGCGTCTCGTATTAATTAATAAACCGAGTCGGTAGGGGGAGCACGATGATTCACGCAGAAAGCGCTTTTCTCGAGATGCTTTTGCGCTACATAAGCCGGGCGCGTTTAAAACATCGCGTGTTCCTCGGCGATCCGCCGGCCTATCCGGCCGAATAAAACGCGCTATCGGCGTGGAATTCAGGTCACTCGGTAACTCGGCGTTACGTACACTTTTGCGAACTCTCTCCCCACCCGATAAAAAAAAAAATTCCGATCGAAAGAGAAGAGGAGAGCGAATCCTGCTGGATAATTCCGATGGATAAAGCAAAACACCGATGGAATATCATAAACGTAAAAGAGGCAGGTGTTCGACGGCCCGGCTGCAACGTCGCACCTGTCTCTCTCTCTCTCTCTCTCTCCCTCCCGATCCAAGATTTCCCGACGAGATTTCGCGAACAGATATCGCGAGAGAAGATTTTGCAAATGTCCACGCGTAACTGGGGACAGTTAGGTATGCGGAGCGGGTAATATGTATTTACGTTTACGATTACAGTTACAGTTCGCGACGCGAAACGGTATTCTCTCTCTCTCTCTCTCTCTCTCTCTCTCTCT